TTATATATTTCATTCGTGTCCTCCACGTGTCGTGTCCTGCATTTTTTTAAAATTAACGTGTCGGCGTGTCCGTGTCGTATTCGTGTCGTGTCACGTGTCCGTGTCCATGCTTCTTAGTTAGTGACAAAGATACAGGGAAGTAGTGAAACAATGCGTGTGTTCAAGATATGGGTAAGGGCAAAATCATGGGAAGGACACATTCAGGTGTATGAATCGCAAATTAAAAGTTTCAACAGATGCAGTAAAGGCAACAAGTAATGAAGAATATCAACAGAATTGAAAACGAAAGGAACAGTAACTTACCAGAAGAAGTAAGGCCGAAATAAGGTTCGCCGAAGTCAGACGATGGTTGCAGGAGTAACAAAGTAGCGAAAGCTTCACCAAAAAGACGAATGAAGACAACTACAGAGCTTGGAGCTTAAGCAATGGCGGATTTGAAAGAAAGAGTATAGAGAGAGAAAAAGCAAGAGAAATCAGATACAAAAGTGGAAAAATGAAGAAAGGGGGAAAGATTTTGTCAAAAATGAAAACGGCGGCAAAAAATAATCAATACACCTAGAAGAACGTATACGTCAGATGGCGCACGTGAGAAAGAGACGGCTTATGGGCGCGTCATAGGTACGAACCAGTAAGAAAGAAACGCGTGGCTAAAAACGGTTGAATTATGGTATATGACAGCTCATACGGGTGGAAGGGTTCTTGAAATTCTTGTTCTTCAATAAAAGGATATCGGCCAAAATAATGATCTCGGCTGAGATACTGAAATCTAACGTATTGGAAAAACGGAATGATATTGGTTCCATCACCTCAGAATGCCGAAGTAATAGAACCTAGGGGCCAATTGTGGGGATATATTTTCTGAGTACCAACACGTGGCAAGATGACACCGATGTGTCAGCCGAGGTGCCACGTGTCCTGGTCGTGACACCGAGGTGATCTCGGCAAGGCCGAGGTTATCTCCAAAGATATCGAAATCCGAGATAAGTCGATAAAAGATAAGGGACAAGAGTCCTAGAGTAAAGAGGAGATTTAGCCAAGATAAGGATAAAGCTCTTAGAGAGTTTATCTTTATCTCTTAAAAAGTCCAAGGTAAGTACTGAACAGGAGTCCATAGAAGTCAGGCTTCTAGTGGGACTAGGATTAAGTAAACTGTAAAAGAGAGGCATCTCCGTGGGTCTAAGGTACGCAATTTATGCTTTGAGCAGTGAATTTAGTAATTGATTATCTTTGAGAGATATACTGACTTGATCGTCGGAGCGCCCCCGGGTGGAAGAGCCACCGCCGGAGCCCTTTCTTTCTGTTGCAGGATAACTGAAGCTATCTATTCTGCCAGTGCTCTCTAGCTGATTACTAAGCGTGCAGTGTGATCAGAAAATCACTCACACACTTTCATTATAAGAGATCTGATGGTTCCTATCACCCTTTGTGCCCTTTGTGCTTGTGTTTGAAGGGTTGTGATGGAGCCTCCCATCAGTTTGGGGGCAGGAGTGACCTCAGGATTGACAACTAGATCCATTGGAGCCTTGCCTTTATGTTGATCCCTGATTAGGGGTTCAACTACAGGTACCATGGAAATAGTGTAGGCTGCAAGATTTTAAATTAGTTAGTAATAAAGGAGAGCAAGTGATGAGGTTAGATGGCTTGAGTTGAGCGTTAATAGATCTACCTACAGCTTTGGAGTTGGAAGATGGTGACTCAAGACCCTGGTTGTCGATGGAAGTGTCCTGAAAGCAAGCCTAAGGGTTTGGAGAAAATGATAGCAGCCATAAGGGTCCACCAGTGTTCAAAATTTGTAGTGAAGCCAAAAGCATGCTCGAAAAAGAAAGTACTAAAGGCCTTGAAGAGGTTATCATTTTCCAGGAGGAAGGATAGATTTGGCTTCGGAGGATTCTTTAATATTAGCTCTGGATCCAATTTCTTCATGAGTGGTTGGGTGAAAGTAGGGATATGCATTGAAAGAGTCCAAATTGTCTAGACCACTAGTTGGGACAATAAGTTTCAAAACTGCAATAGGACATCTTAGTGGAGGAGATAGAACAGCCAACTAGGGTGTATCTGCAAGTCAGGATGTGTTTCCAGGTTTTAGCCTGTGACTGGACTTGGTCATTAGTTAAATCAAAAGGATCTGTGGATAGGTATTCTAATCTGGAGGATGAGAGTTGACAGTCCTGGGATGGTCTGAGGAGAGCAAGAAGTCCTTTTAAGGGAAAATTGTAAAAAATGGTAAGATGATTAGAAAGTTGAGGGAAGGTTTGCTAACAAAGGTGAGAAAGTGTTCTGCATAAGAATGGTGAATTGGCCTCATGGTGTTAGGTTTTGGAGGTTGTACTTCAAGAAAATAGGCATACGACCAGGCCTAAAAGAGCCAAAATGGCCCTCACATGTAGCAGAAATTTTCTTTTCAACAAGGGAGAATAAGCCCTTGTAAGGGTGCCCAAGAGGTAAGGTTCGAAGGTCATAGCTTGGCCATCCTGAATGCACAAGGCTAGGGGAAGATATTCCTTGGTAATTTTATACCCAAGACACAGAAAAGGAACTGGCAAAGCCAGACTAGGTAAAAGACAGTTATTTCTTTATCCTCGATAGGGGAGCCTGGTTTGCCTTTGTACTTTTTGGTGAATTCAGTATAGCTCATGTCAGTATTCAAGGTGAAGGTTACTTTTGGGGGTTCTAGTAAGGCATTAATTTGTTGGCCTAGGATGGGTAACCCAGTCAAGTGGGCTACATCAAGGATGGTGGGGGCAATCATTCCAAATTTTAAAAATAATGAGTTGCAAGACTGGGACCAGAAGCATGCAACAGCAACAATTAGCCACTTGTCCATGTCATACTTCATGGTCGACAGTCGAATTACCTCACTGATGCCCTAGTGTTTCCACACCTCAGAGTCATGGGTTTCAATTCTTCTAACCCAGCTTTGCCATGAGGAGTTTGGTTGCCTCCAGGACTTGAGGGGATTTTTGCTGCTGTTCCAATTGATCCAGTGGAGTCTTGGTTGATTGAGAAGCAAGTTCACCTTTGGCAAGAGGATAGTATTGGGATAGCTCATCTGGAAAGTGTGATAGAAATGTGGGGCCTAGGGTTGCCTTGGCAACAGAGGTAGTGCTTGGAAACAGAGTGACGTCCAGTTTCAAAGGAGAGATAATGCTCTGACAGAGTCTGGAAACCGAAGAAGGTCATCATTGTTGTCATCTTCTTTGGTGGGCTTCGATTTCTTGGGTGCCATGACTTAGGGTTTTGAGATGGTTAGATTTCAAGTGAAGGTTTTTGAAAAGGAGAAGGACAGTTCAAGGATTTCAAAAGGAGGAGAATGGAAGTAAAGTAGTGTGAAGTTGAAAAGGTCAGCCTTTTATAATTTGTGATGGGCCCAGTGTTGAGTGTGAACTAAGGTTGCAAGTCATTTTCATTTGGGCCGTGGTTTCTTTATTTGGGCCCAAAGAAGCGAATTTGTTTAAGTTAAAAACATTGGTATTTATTTAACTTAAACAAGGGGGGCACTGTTTGCACCCATTTTTGTTGGATTTTGTCGACAGGTGGACCAATCAAGTAATGGCATGTGGCAGGGTCAAAATGGGGATCTTGCGTCAATCAGAGGACAAGTGTCCCCAATGAAAGTTGGATCCTATGTGTGGAGAGGTCCAGATAGTGGAGCAGTTATTGGTAGGGAAGGTCATGGGTTTAATGGGCAACTTGCAAGACAAGTCACACACAAAGTGGGTGTTTCTCTCTGCCGAAGGAGGGCTAAAAGTGATGATACAGAGAGCTAAAAGTGATGATGGATACGTGGCATCATGTAGGGGGAGCCATTCGACAGGCAAAATTGAAGACTTAATGGAGCTTGAATCTTTGGAAATAAGAGAGGCAGTTGCAGCAATTATGCAGCAACAGTTGCAGACTTGGAGGATCATGGGGTCATGGGCTAGAGAAGTAAGGACAGCTATAAAGCCAGAGATTTGCAGAGAGATGAGGATCATCAACAACTTAACAACACATAGCTTTTAGACCTAGGAGTAGTTTATTGTAACTTAGAAGTAGTTTCCTCTGTAATTTACGGTTTGTAACTGGGTGAACTTTTTCATTCTGAAATTACTTTGTGTTTTCTTTGTTTACTTTGTTACTTTCAGTTGTTCCAAAGAAGTCCTCATTCTTTTGAGGCATTTGAACCAATTCCACAATTGCTTGGTTGTTCTTGTTTGATTGTTTAGTTGAAATTGGTGTTTAATTCCTGTTGATTGGGAGTAAGCATAATTTTTACTAACACCTGTACAAAAAATAATATTCTTTGGGATCTTTTAGCAATCAATCATCACTACTTCCTACTTGAATTTTGAGTTTTTTATTTTTTATTTATTTTTTTTATTATTATTTTTTTTGGGTGGTAAAGTTGCATGCCATCAATTCAGTCTTAGTTACTAATCTGACTCCATACTGATTTTAAACTTATCATTAATCTCTAATCAGCATTTCATTGCTTTAGTCTCATCTCATCAATTAAAAGACTCGAACTAATGAAAAACTGGTGTCATTAATACAATGGAAACGATCAACTAATTGGGATTCTCAAATTAGCATTTGAGTTTTAGCCATAAATGAAACCAAGGTGTCTCTTGGTATTGCAGAGTAGCAACAAGTTGAAGTTTAAAAATAACAAAACAGAAGACCAAAAAAGAATAGCAAAAGAGAGACTCACCTTTAATGCTTCCACAAGTGATGAGCCTGTTGAGAAATTTCCAGAACTTCATCAAGACAATCCTTTCCTGCTCTGCATAAAGCTCTGTGATGAAGTTAGTCTCATCTCATCAATTAAAAGACTCCAACTAATGAAAAACTGGTGTCATTAATACAATGGAAACGATCAACTAATTGGGATTTTCAAATTAGCATTTGAGTTTTAGCCGTAAATGAAACCAAGGTGTCTCTTGGTATTGCAGAGTAGCAACAAGTTGAAGTTTAAAAATAACAAAACAGAAGACCAAAAAAGAATAGCAAAAGAGACTCACCTTTAATGCTTCCACAAGTGATAAGCCTGTTGAGAAATTTCCAGAACTTCATCAAGACAAGCCTTTCCTGCTCTGCATAAAGCTCTGTGATGAAGCCCTGCCCATGAGATGACTTAAGAGTTGTGTTTCCACTACAGCTTGCGGCAGCATCTGGAGACCCAACTGCCATGAACATTGCATCTTGTTCATCACACATCAGTGCAATTGTTGCAGGAGACAGTGGCCTTCTAGTTTGTGCATCGCTTCCATCTGATATCGAATCATCCGCTATGTCTGCTTGGTTCCCACTCAAACGGTCATCAGGAATAGCTGTTTGCACAATACCTTCTATTTTCCCCTGATGAGCGGAAGAAACAGCAGAATCTTCGAGCTGATCTCTTTCCACTTGTTTATCCATTTTTCGCTCTCTGTCTGAAAATGACAAATTAAAGTTCAAAAAGCAAATCTTGTGTTGGATGAAAGCATACAGGGCAGATCCACCATATTTTGTGTAACCTATAAAAAAAAAACTACAGCAAAATAAACAATAAAAAAAGAAGAAAACAGAAATACAAATCATCAAGCGAGAGACCTTTCAAGCTATATGGTGATTGATCATGTTCATACAAAAGACAATCCGAATACTGACAACAAGCATTGTTAATATCCGAAATGATAAAAGAAAAAAAAAATAAGGAGCAAACTTAAATGAGAATGAAAAGAAAAAACATGGGAAAAGGGTTTGTTTGTCTTTAGGGTTGGATGTACGAGAAATCAAACGGAAGGCACGCCTTTGTCTCATGGGCATTTCAAATTGTGTGAAATTCCTGTGTTGCATGCAACATAACATGGTACGGGTATTAGGCATGCAGTAGAGATACTGCCAACCTAAGTAGCATGTACACGGATATGTGACATGACACAAATATGGCACGGATATGCCGACACACCAATTTTCAAAAAATACAGGACACGACACGTAGGGCACACACACGAAACATATAATTTTACATATTATTATATGTCATATATCTAAATATAACATTCAAAGATAATAAAAATATATATATAATATAACACTTATTTTACAAATTTACACTGTTTTTTCTTTTATTATTTTATCCTAAATTATTTAGTTTAAACTTATAATTAATTTCATGTATGTCTAATCGGTGGATACATGAAGTGTTCGAAGAGTGTCCTGGATCTAAAAAAATTTTAAAAAATAGGACACGTTTTGACGAGTGTCGAACACACGTCGCAAAGTGTCCAATGAGTGTCGGTGTCCAAAACGGACACGACATGAATACGCCACCTTCTTAGAAGTGTCCGTACTTCCAACTATACATCCACCAAAACAAAATTTGCTATAAGAAGATGTAATCTCCACTTCCATTTAGAAGTCTTACAATCTTTTAGGATACTACAGGCAAGTCACTGAGTTATGATCATAACCATTTTTATCTAGCTATTAGTTATGATCAAAATGTAATTGAATGCAAAACAAGTCTGGAAAGTCTTTGTATATTGACCTGCAAGGACCTTTGTAGCTTCTGCAGAAGCTATGACCAAAAGTGAGCAAAGCTCCTTGACATCCTGTGATCGAAGAACATCTGCTAATGGAGACCTTCAATCATATGCGGCAGTACTAGTTAGTTGTTGAAAGCAAAAGGAAATAAGCACAACATAATTGAACAAAAAATGCACAAAATTATATCTGGCGTGCATATAAGAACATTAGAATATTAACAAATTTGAATGGCTAAACCATATAACTTTGAAAATATGTACCTGTATGTCAATTTAGAAGATCCCATAGACGCTGAAGCAGTGCAAGAAACAGGTGCAGATAACAGAGACGAAGAGGTAGCAGAAGGTCTTAAATAGTTTTCCTGAGTAAAATAGGGGCTATTAATACTAAGTTTCTTTGCTAATGAAGATGGAGGAAAGGACAAGGAAATTTGAAATGTGAAATTTTATTTGAAGTTTGTGAGGTTCAGAAAATTTTCTTTGCTTAAGGTCTGAACCAAAGGAACAGATAATGCCAAATCAACAGAAACCAACATCACTTGGCCACCCAAATAAGATTTGCAAATTGCATACATTCAGGTAGAAGTAACAATACAAATACAATCTGGGCTTACTGATATATGGCTACATTAAAGTTTTTACATAACCAATAACCTTAAAAAATAAATAAATAAATAAAAACTAAATCTAAATTCAATGTGAAAGTATAATTATTAAAATAATTAGTGTTTTATGCCAAAAAACCATATATGACTTATACTTGGGGTTACTTAGAAAAATTAACCTGTTGAAACTGTTCAATCCCAAGAATAGATTGATCACTGGGTGTTGGACCAAAAATGAGTTGCTGATATTTTCTCTTCTTGGAAGCTGGAGGGGTACCAAGACCTGAAGTCCCAATAGCCCCATTAATTGCTAAATTGGTTGCCTGTTGAACATGCGAAATGAAATTAGCATGGTCCCCATGGAAAAGAGCCCTTCTCTCTTCACTTCCTTCAAAGTTTTTGCAGTCCATGCATTTACAATTTTCAGAACACAGAATGTTGGCCTGAAAGCACTCGCAGTATTTCTTGAGACACCCTGATTTTTTGCAGTTACATCCTTTGTTGTGTTTTGCCACCACTGAAACTTCCTCCGCCTCTTCCTGCACTAGTTTTGAGAGTTTAAGTACATGCCAGACTTACTAAGAAAGATTGATGTTTAACCAAAATAGAAAGAGAAGAAGTTACAAGTTACAAGATATTATACCAGAATTATCAAATATCAATCCTCAATAGAATAATGCAAATTGCTTTCTGTAGAAACTAATTTTGAACCAGAACGAAGTCCAGAGACTCCCTGAATTTAGAGATTCCGGATTTCTTAAAAAGGTGATATATTGCCATACTTAATGACAACCACAGAGTAAGCTTTTATTAACAACATTTTATAACTTATGGAAAATAAATAAATAAAATGCTTTCTTGTCACTACCAAGTAACTTTGTACAAAAACTAATGTGGCAGGCCACAAGAGGTGACAGATATGTAGTAGCGGGAGCTCTACAAATGTCGGTGCCCAGTGATAACACAAATCATTGAAATGATAAGCATTTCTACTTCTGCCACTAATGTTGATCACGATGGATGTGATTGCTTAATAAACTGCCACAAGGTGATGATGGCATAAATCTTGTTGTGCTTGCGATAGCAGGAATTGGACTGGGCAAAGTTTTTTAAAACATGCCCAACATTCACTCATTAAGCAACTACATTTGTTTACATGGTTTAGCCAAGAGAGTTCGTTCTTGCTTAATTTGCTACATAAAAACTGTTTTGCTAAAAAGGACCCAAAAAAAAAGAGGAAGTCAAAACCAAATACAGAAATGAGAACAACTATTTGTAAAAAAAATTCCTTCTACATTTTGGGAATTGGCTTTTTTAGTGGCCTTTTTATGAAAAAATGTGTAAAAAAGTAGAGAGAATGATTTGACAACTTGTAGTGGCTTTTTGGCTAAAAAACAAAGTTCCCAAACAAGGCCACCACATCTATTGCATATAACAAAATGCACCCACAAAGATGTTTATTACAATAATCATATGGTTTTAACTAATTCACTTACAAACTTTGGCTTCCTCAGCAAAAGCATAAGAATCTAATAAGATCAGGCAGCTTAACAAGTAAAAACAGCAAAGTCATACAACAAACTTCTCATCCTAAAACTACCCAATTTTGCTCCATATGGAACACAAATGGCTGTTGATAGAGTCAAGTGGAGAAGAAGAATTCATGTAGCCAATCCCATTTAATGGGACTTAAGGCTTGGCTTGGCTTGGCTTGGTTTGGTTTGGTTTATAGAAACACAAATAAGTAAGGCACTGCTCAAGCAAAACATAAAACTATCATAAATTCCAATTTAAGTTTTCCATAAAAGAATAATCAACACTTGGAATGATGTCACCATACTTAATGTGGTACACAGAAATAAAAAATAAAAAAAAAAAGGAACTTTCAACAGTTTAACTAATGGTAGATGAAGAAAAAAATGAACCTTCTGATGATATATACTCAAATAAAAAAAAAAATTAAAACGAATATACCTAGGTAACAGCTGATTTGCTAAAATCTTGGCCAAAAAACTAGCCAAGCAGCAAAGAACATGACTGTTACCACCTGAAGCTATGTAAGTTATAACATTGAATAAAATTAAAGAGAGTCAGTCTATATACCCTTCCATCCTGTGATTTATGTGGACTGTTAGCAATCTTTGGTCTGAAAGCATTTGGGTTACGCTCTAAGGTTGCTCCAACAGCCAGTTGCCTAGCGGCATCATGCTCAACATTATTGTGACAATTTGTGCAGTTGCAACCATCACAATAGATCCCCGAAGCAAAGCACTCACAATACCTGGTGTGGTGATTATTAAGATTTGCATTGTAATAATTAAACTCAAAAAAACAAAATAAATAAAAAGAAAAAGGAAAATACGGAAGATGCACCAAAAATTACATCATCTAGTCAAATTATCATATACATAGGATTTTTTTTTCCTTTTCTGGAGGCATATAGATCTAATTTTTGACGACCAGGCATCTAATGTACCATTAACTTGTATGATACTGGTCATTAATTGTCAGTAGTATAACTAATCATCGATTGCTTAACCAATTGAATCCGAACCAACCATATTATAAAGGAAAATAAAACATCATTTGCAACACCTTCAGCACAGTAGATTACAATGATTTGGCATATCCAAATTTGTGCACAGCAATCCCATGTATCATCAAGACTCTCATACAAAGTTAGGAATGGAATACCCTTTTCAGTGTAGTGGATACTTATTTTTTATTTTACGCACATGCAGAAGAATAAGAAACTAATAATGCCACAGCACAGTCTCCTGCAAATAATAGTTCTGAAAAGCTAAAACAGGACAAATTTTAGATGCTCTTTTCAAGCAACCCACACCCAGTATTTGACAGTTGACACAACCAACTCTTTGGCTATTGAAATGTTTGTTCACCCATGGCCCCACCACAAAACAATTTGAGGTCCATCCATCTTCAAGGAAGATACATGTCTGCCGCTTTATCGGTGAAAGGACTAGAAATAATTTAAATATCATACTACAAGAGAACTACAAGGAAATGCAACTGCGTTAAGAGTTCATGTAAAAAGAAGTGAGAAAGCCATATTCTTTCTCTTTATATTGTGTTACAAACACCCCTTCATCAAGAGGGTGAGGTGGGGTTCCACAAATTGAAGCAGAGTAATAATGACAGTACATGCTAGAGGTAATGTGCTTACAACTTCAAGCATCGAGAATTTCTGCAATTGCACTGCTTTTGTTTCTTTGGAGTACCATCCTTTACTTCTGTGTTACAACGCTGCCGTGATTTTGGAGACTCTGTCATGCTGATGAAACATATATTTGCACAACAGTCAGATAAAATAGAATAAAACGTTTTAAATATTAAAAATATTCCAACAAGGATATTATGATCTCAAACAAGCACCATACAAACATGTTCATGCAGTTCAAGCATCTTTAGATTATAGTCATCGCTATGAACCAAACATTAGTGACACGAAGTGAGTAAAGAAACAATCAAAAACTAAGTGAACATCTGACCCAAAACAAAAAAGCAAGCATCATCCACACCAAAATTAATATTCTTCATAATAGGCATCTGATGAATAAATAATTTCACAGTTCTTACATGCTCCAAAACCTTTGAACCTTCCAACAACAAGCCCTATCTTCCAGCTCCTTTCGAACCTACTTCCTCCCTGCTCTAGCTAGTGCTCCTAAGGTTTTGAACTTTGCAAGAGTTTATTGTATTATAAACTTTATCAAATCATTTTGTTTTCCAGTTATGTTGCAGATTTTACATATAAGATCAAAATGAGAATTGACTCTTTTCATGATTTCTACCAAAAGAATGTGCATGATGTAACTTACCCTTATAAAAATCAAATAAAAAGTGCAGGATATAGATAGATAGATAGATGTCACAACTTCGCAATAATCAGTGTGTTTGATTTCAGTTTTCTAAATTTAGTTTTCTGAAAACTGAGTTTTTTGTTTTTTATTTTTTATTTTTTAATTTTTTTTGTTTTTAGTAAATATTTTTTAAATTTCAAGCAATTTTTTTAGTTTTTTAGATGCACCTTACTTATATGCATCTAAATAATAAATTATTTGCGAAAAAATAGTTTAAAACAATAATAAATACACAAAAATATGAAAAATGTACTGAATTTTTGTATTTTTGTTTTTGTTTTTGTTTTTGTTTTTGTTTTTGTTTTTGTTTTTTTTTTTTTTTTTTTTTTTTTTTTTTTTTTTTATATTTTTGGTATTTAGTGAATTTTCTAAAGATTTTTTTTCACAAATATTACACTTTCTAAGTGTATTTATGTTAGGTGTGCCTAAAAATTAAAAACATTGCTAAAAATATTTAAAAAATTCTGTGAAAACAAAAATATACAAAAAAAAAAAGAAAAAGTATAATTTTCTGAAAAGTGAATTCTAAAAACTAGTCACATAAGCGGAGGAGATTGATGCGGATGTGGCCCATGGGATTAAGGCATGATGGATTAAGAGGAAAAATGTGTCTGGGATACTGTGCAATAAACGAATACTCACTAGACTAAAAGGTAAGTTCTATAGAACGGCTATTAGACCAGCGATGTTGTATGGGACGGAGTGTTGGACAATCAAAAACATATAGATAAGATGAATGTTGCTAAGATGAGGATGCTAAAATAGATGTGTGGCAAGACAAGACAAGACAAGACAAGACAGAATTAGGAATGAGTGTATTCGGGAATGGGTAGGAATAGCACCGATAGAAAATAAGTTGAGAGAGAATCAATTGAGATAGTTTGGTCATATTCAACGGAGACCAACAGAGGTAGTAGTGAAGAGATGCAGCGACGGTAGATGGAAGTGTTAGGGGACCAGGTAGACCTATATTAACGTTGGCTAAAGTTATAAATAAAGATATGAATCTACTAAATTTGACTAACAAAATGACCCTTGATAGAACTGCAGAGAGAATAATGATTCATGTAGCCGACCTCATTTGATGGGACTTAGGTTTGGTTTGGTTTGGTTTGGTTTGGAAAATGTTGTACAAACAAACTGTTTTAACATAATTTTCTTATAGACTGACGTGACATACAGTAATAAATTTGGTCTACACATTTTATTTTCGAGCTAAATTTCTAGGAACTTTTTCTAGATGCATAATATTGTTGGTTTTGATTTTACTAGTCACCACCATACCTATGAAAATAACATTTTCAGCCATAAAATTCATAAAAAAACATAATTGCATAACCGAATAAGAAATGATTTTAAAATACTCCTAAACATTATTTTGATAGTATTACAACTGATTTTAAAATATGAAACCTGATCTATCTCAATTGTAAAAGTTCATGTATTAACATGTCTATTTGTTTGAACAATAGCATTAATTTATTAAAGTTCTCTTTTATTTATGATTTGAGATGATAGATTTGTATTTCAGATTTTTAAATTTGTTTGTTGATTTTTTTAGGATAAGTTCTACAATGTCACCAAGTCGCCATTGCATGCTTCCTGCATTACTCATCAACAATCAGTTTTTCTTCCCCAGCATTATAAATTGTCAAAACATATTTCCCAATTTTCCACTATTACAACATTTTCTTTTCTTTTTACATTTACACTGTCATACATAAATCCATAGATTTCAAACATAACATCAATCAATATCAATATCAATATCTAAAATACTTACTTCGTTAAAACACATTCATTCATTCCACCCCAAAATAGAAATCTTAGCAAAAGGATAACAATCAAACAAATCCCCAATAAACAAATCAATGAACTCACACTACTGGCAATGTCGGCCGAGGCTGCGGCCGCCCCTGATGCGCCACACGAGGCATAATCGGCACCGGTTGTTTCGGTCTCGGTTGAATTTGCAACTGCGGCACCGTTTGTGGCTGTGACTGCAGCTGTGATGCTTGTGACCGTGCTAATGCTAGCAATTTCGACTGTAATTGCGCTTGAGGATGATCAGGCAATATCGCATTCGCCGAAGCCCTACACATCACCGTGAAATCGAGTTGTCTCGCAAGCTTCCTACCCGAGAAATCCGAGGCCTTATGTAACTTACCCTTATAAAAATCAAATAAAAAGTGCAGGATATAGATAGATAGATAGATGTCACAACTTCGCAATAATCAGTGTGTTTGGTTTCAGTTTTCTAAATTTAGTTTTCTGAAAACTGAGTTTTTTGTTTTTTATTTTTTATTTTTTATTTTTTTTTTAGTAAATATTTTTTAAATTTCAAGCAATTTTTTTAGTTTTTTAGATGTACCTTACTTATGTGTATCTAAATAATAAATTATTTGTGAAAAAATAGTTTAAAACAATAATAAATACACAAAAATATGAAAAATGTGCTGAATTTTTGTATTTTTGTTTTTGTTTTTGTTTTTGTTTTTTTTTTTTTGTATTTTTGGTATTTAGTGAATTTTCTAAAAAAAAAATTTCACAAATATTACACTTTCTAAGTGTATTTATGTTAGGTGTGCCTAAAAATTAAAAACATTGCTAAAAATATTTTAAAAATTTTGTGAAAACAAAAATATACAAAAAAAAAAAAAAAAAGTATAATTTTCTGAAAAGTGAATTCTAAAAACTGGTCACATAGGCGGAGGAGATTGATGCGGATGTGGCCCATAAGATTAAGGCATGATGGATTAAGTGAAAAAATGTGTCTGGGGTACTGTGCAATAAACGAATACTCACTAGACTAAAAGATAAGTTCTATAGAACGGCTATTAGACCAGCGATGTTGTATGAGACGGAGGGTTGGACAATCAAAAACAACATGTAGATAAGATGAATGTTACTAAGATGAGGATGCTAAGATAGATGTATGGTAAGACAAGACAAGACAGAATTAGGAATAAGTGTATTCGGGAATGGGTAGGAGTAGCACCGATAGAAGATAAGTTGAGAGAGAATCAATTGAGATAATTTGGTCATATTCAATGGAGACCAACAGAGGTAGTAGTGAACAGATGCAGCGACGGTAGATAGAAGTGTTAGGGGACCGAATAGGCCTATATTAACGTTGGCTAAAGTTATAAATAGAGATATGAATCTACTAAATTTGACTAACGAAATGACCCTTGATTGAACCGCATAGAGAATAATGATTCATGTAGCCGACCTCATTTGATGAGACTTAAGGTTTGGTTTGGTTTAGTTTAGTTTGGTTTGGTTTGGTTTGGAAAATGTTGTACAAACAAACTGTTTTAACATAATTTTCTTATAGACTGATGTGACATACAGTAACAAATTTGGTCTACACATTTTATTTTGGAGCTAAATTTCTAGGTACTTTTTCTAGATGCATAATATTGTTGGTTTTGATTTTACTAGTCACCACCATACCTATGAAAATAACATTGTCAGCCATAAAATTCATAAAAAAACATAATTGCATAACCGAATAAGAAACGATTTTAAAATACTCCTAAACATTATTTTGATAGTATTACAACTGATTTTAAAATATGAAAACTGATCTATCTCAATTGTAAAAGTTCATGTATTAACATGTCTATTTGTTTGAACAATAGCATTAATATATTAAAGTTCTCTTTTATTTATGATTTGAGATGATAGATTTGTATTTCAGATTTTTAAATTTGTTTGTTGATTTTTTTAGGATAAGTTCTACAATGTCACCAAGTCGCCATTGCATGCTTCCTGCATTACTCATCAACAATCAGTTTTTCTTCCCCAGCATTATAAATTGTCAAAACATATTTCCCAATTTTCCACTATTACAACATTTTCTTTTCTTTTTACATTTACACTGTCATACATAAATCCATAGATTTCAAACATAACATCAATCAATATCAATATCTAAAATACTTACTTCTTTAAAACACATTCATTCATTCCATCCCAAAATAGAAATCTTAGCAAAAGAATAACAATCAAACAAATCCCCAATAAACAAATCAATGAACTCACACTACTGGCAATGTCAGCCGAGGCTGCGGCCGCCCCTGATGCGCCACACGAGGCATAATCGGCACCGGTTGTTTCGGTCTCGGTTGAATTTGCAACTGCGGCACCGATTGTGGCTGTGACTGCAGCTGTGATGCTTGTGACCGTGCTAATGCTAGCAATTTCGACTGTAATTGCGCTTGAGGATGATCAGGCAATATCGCATTCGCCGAAGCCCTACACATCACCGTGAAATCGAGTTGTCTCGCAAGCTTCCTACCCGAGAAATCCGAGGCCTTCGCAACCACTGGTTCACTTTGCTCCATCGCTTTCATTACACAAACCCTTACGATTCGCTTTCTATTACCGCAAAACCCTAAACAACGCTCACAAATTAAAAAATTCACACAATTTTTTAAAATTTTTGAAAAAAAAAACACAAATGGAGAGATTGTGTAGCTATAGAGCTCGGTCTTTCGCCGGAATCTGACACATTCGTCGGAAAATGTTCGAGACTGATCGGAATCTGACAACTCCGGCGTTGTACGGACGGCGCATTGAATGAGGTTTGGGGAAGAGAGAGAGAGCTGAGTGATGAGTGATGAGGCTACACTCTGTTCTCTCTCCCTCTTCGACCTTTTGAAATTCAATTTCGTAAAAAAATGGACGCTTGGATGAGGAGTAGTGGATGATCGGGCGATCGAAATTGAAAAGGGAATATGGACGACTGGGATTCGGTAAAAGAGGGGGATGTTGGTCAACAGCCGTCGGATTGAGAAAGCGATGTGAGTGTTTTTGGAAGATTAATCAGCCGTCGGATGGGGGCTTAAATATTTTGGTTTCGATTTCTTGTACACGTGTACGGCTATAGATTATTTGAAGACATTTAGCCATTTAAATTTTGGATAATTACAGTTCACACTGCTAGAAACTTTTGATAATGACAAAGATACCCTTAAGTTTGTAGATAATGACAAAGATACCCTTAAGTTTGTAAAATAAGATAAAAAACAATAAAAAAAAATATTTACCTACATTTGGTTTGATAATTTAAAATTAATTTGGTAACATAAAGAATACTTATCATTATTACATTATTTTATTTTTTGTAAGGCCAAAAATAATTTTTAAAATTTAAAAATATCTTTTTAATAGTCTTTTTTAGGAAAAATTACCCATAAATCCTAAGTGAAGGAAAGTTGAACCATTTGATCCTGATAGTTTTCTTATAAACCAATTAGTCTCATTTTTTTTTGGTAAGTGTTATTTAGATTGGTTTAATTTTATTTTGATTTTACCTTGTTGTCCTTGATGTGATTGTGTTTCCCTAATTGATTGATTCATATTTGGAGAGGATAAGGAAATGTTATATCACCATTAATTTATCATAAGTTTTAGCGTCTGTGTAGTAATATGAGTTTCCAGTTTCGTTAATGTTGTTTACGTCAATGATTAATTCGTAACGTGGGTTTAGTAACATTATACATCACGTTAAACTACTTAACCCTCCTTATTCTACAAATGACACTTACAATCCAAATTACCATACTGTGATATATACCCCATCAAAAACAGATGAACTATCCCCTTGTTCCTATAATATCAAAAAACATAACACAACTGCTGACAACGTAAACACATCCTGAATGAGAAAGTTTGAGCTTTTGGTAATGAAGTGGGTTTTGAGTTTTTGATAAAATTGTTTATGATATTGCCTAGTTAGTAAAGTGGGTTTAGCAATAGAAGAATTATTTCATTCTCTCTATAATTTCAAAAAACACTCCACATCTGCAGCTAATGTGAATGCTCCCACACAGCAAACCCAACCACTAATTACCATAACCAATTAACCCTATCGAACAACAAAACAGTGGAATCCAAACTACCATTACTACCACATTTCAAGTAACCACTTTAAATCAAACACATTTCTCAAACACATCAACATCAAAACCCCCCAAATCATTCAAACAACATGAACCTGAATGTAGTGACCTTCATCTTCATCTTAGTCATGTTCATATGCATTTGCATGTTTTGTTTGTTAAGCTTGCACTTGTGGTTTTGACTTGATTTGCCTAAAGTAAGGTTTCCGTCTTGTTTTATACCTATGTGTTTTGACTTGAGTATTGTTTGTACGTTTTGTCCTTTGCTTAGTGTGTGTAGCCGAGGTCATCTTAAGCCTAGGTCGCGCCTTTTGACCTTTTACACCTAGGACCATCTTGGAACCACTTTGGCTGACCTCTACCTTCACCCTGACATATTGGCCGAGATGTCATCATCTAGGGCGAGGTGCGCATCACTGAGGCCGAGATATGTATCATCTAAGCCGAGATGTTATCCTTTAGGTATCTTAGATCTTTGATCCCTGCACCTGGTGATCTTGTTCCTGGACTGGTATGACCTAGACCGAGGTGTGGCACATCTAGGCCGAGGTGTGGCATAGCTAGGCCAAGTGTTATCCTTCCTAGCCGAGATCATTGAGACCTTACTTGCCGAAGCCTTGTCCTAATCCGAGGTCCTTACCTACCAGAGTGTCCATGTCACCTTACTTGTTGAACACCCTTTGTCATGCTCTTGTCTTGTCATTCAGTCACCTTTTTGAGGAAACCTAATCCGATAGTGCTACGTGCCCCAGCAGGAGGTTAAGTCAGCCGGCAGTGGGAGAAAACATATCATTGTGTGTCATATTTTTCATGGTAGAGAGAGAAGCTCTAGAAAGAAGAGGAAGAAGTTCTTAGAGTGAGAATAGATTTCCAAGCTTGATCCTTAGAGTTTGAACCGTTGGATTCGTGTTTTGAGGTTAGATTCTTGTTTTGCTCTTGTTGTTCTTTATGTTCATCTAACTACATTGTATGATCTAGCATGATTCATGAGCCATGCATTGCTTTGAAATTTGGTTTTAGAAAGAGAAGATGATGTTCTTGTGTTCTTGAAAGAAAACCATGTTTTGATCCAAAAGTTTGTATCAAGATCCATATTTTTGTGTTTGTTTTCATAAGATCTTCAAGTATGGGTGCCCAGGTCCATGTTTTCGAACTCATCTCATGAAATCTCAGATTTTGAACAAAGAAGTTATGATTTTAACATTCATGTTCGTCATGTTCTTGTCCTTCATGTTCTTCGAAGGGAAACCCAGGTTTTCCCGACTTCATTTCCTCGAATGTGGCCGTTGGGACCATACCTCGGCCAAGACCTGGTTAGTACCCAGCATGTTTTCCTCGAGATTAAAAACAGTGTTTTAACTTCCAGCATGTTTTGCTTTGGCTTGACTTGGTTTTGAAAGAGATGCCGAGATCATTTTCTGTCATGTAAAGCTTGTTCTAAGGATGCATTTCATATCTATCTTTGAGCATCTCTTCTTGTCCTATTGAAATGCATTCAATGGAATTTATTATGTACTTGTAGGCCTTGGATCCTTGCTTGTAACCCCCAC